TCTGTTTTTTAAGAGAGTGACACTCTTTGCATCAATCCAGCAGACCCGCAGATATCCCAGGATGCAATTTCCCCTACTGTTAAAAAATATTGTATGTTCGTGCACAGTTAATGGAATAACTGATGCTAGTTTGCCTGGATTGTTTATCTGCGTCTCTAAGGCATAATATTTGTCTTTAATTATCATTATTTTTTCTCTCTTGGTCTGTTTCATTCTGAGATGATGAATTTATTGTGCAAGATTGATGAAGAAATGTATTAAATATTCAAATTACAAGCAAACAAACAAAAAACAAACCAACAAATCAGGAAGAGATTACCTTCTGTCATTATTATTGGTTTAAAAATGACTTAAAATCTGAACTTTGACCTCTGCTCAGAACATTTTTCTCCAAACTGTGGATTTACTGGCTGTAGCCTTTACAATGTGGGTGTTTTATGAATATTCCACTCACAATCTGCAAGTTCGGCTACATTAACGTCTTTTACAGGCGAATGAGAAACAATAAACTCCCTCCAAGACGTGAAAGAAGAAGAATGGTTTGATGTGGAAATATTTAAATGAGCAACATAACTGCAGACAATACAGAACAGAAAGGGAACTGTTTATCTGACAGCGAAGGAAGGCGGCACAGAGCTGAACTAATTAAAGAGTTGTCGGGCAATTATAGCGACTAAACTCTGAGACAAATACAGTCAAGAAGAGAGGTGAGACGGATACAATTAGAGTTTAATTAGTGACTTACTGCTCTACTACAGACGTGGAAGAGCTGTTTTTAAACTCACAGTGAACGGTGACGTTGATTCGGTGGGACTCCATAACTCTGATGTCTCCCGGGACGGAAAAGCTGACCTCACAGAAGAAACGGGAGTCCTTGTCCTGCTTGGCCAGCTTGTACTCCAGGGTGCTCTGAACAGAGTAGAAACCTGTGGACTCCCGGGTCACCAAGGTGATCACATTAACCTCTGGAATGTGGAACAAAAAAGCAAAGAATCGTGTAAAATTGGGTGTTAAATCAAAATTCATCTACACTAGAAAAACAGAAATAGCATTGTGTTGGTGTGAGCTTCATCACTTAAAGGTATAGAGGACAATCTTTTATTTCCGGATGGATCATCTATATAAGTGGTCCTCCTTACTGTCAATCATTCTGATATGTTTACATAAGGCCGTCCTACGTGCTCGTCCCGTTAGCTATCTTTTTCTGCGCATTTTCAGACGCATATCTGTGGTGAGCTACGGGTTCAGACAGTCATTGAAGCTCACCCCTCGGTTCTTTGAAAATGGCCGAGGGCCGTAAGAGAAAACATGTCTATGAACGGTATGAGAAGAAAAGAAAGGCCACAGAAGAGGCAGATATATCTCAGAAAGCAGGGATCAAAGTGTGTATTTTCAAGCCATGCCAGGAGGGTGTGGGGGTATGGGATCAGAGGTTGCATGAATGATTGAAGACTAAATTTGACTTTTGAAAATCCAATACCAAAAACAGCCAGAAGATGCAAAAAGTGCATCTATATGTACCTGTCAGGGGCAGTCCTGATTACACAAATGTCACTTGTTTTACCTTGTCTTTGTCTACTTTTCTCTCTCATTTTAGGCAGTTTCACTTCCTGAGTTCCTTCCTGCAATCAGGACCTGCCACAGCCTAATGCAATTCACCTAGAGTATGTGCTTCTCTTTTGTTCGTTAGAGTATTTAGTTCCCACCCTTGCAGCTTCCCTTTGCCACTTCGTCTTTGTTCTTTGAGCTTAGCCTTCCAGCCTTTTGCCTGTTAGACTTTAGCTTTCTAGTGTTTTGACCCCAGCTTTGAGTTGGATCTGTCTTTGCATCAGTTTTTGATACCTCTGTTGTTGCTGGATGTTTGGTGTTCAACTCAGGACTGTATTAAAGGAACTTTGAGTTTGAATCCTGATTATTCCTGAGCCTTGTGGCAGTACCACTTGCATGAACCACATTTCTTTTGATATCCAGTTTTGCTGCTAAGCGTTCCTGGAGCCCAGCGTGCAGAAGCAAGCGCCTGGTTCATCTAACTTCCTGCACCGGTTGCTAAATGGCTCGCCATCTCGTCCTGTCATTTATTTTTGAGACCTTTATCTATGGTGATGACATCTTCCCCAGAGTTCATGACCTGCATTGTGCCCACTCCATTTAATTCAGTTCTGTCTATCGTTCTTCTCTCCAAACATAAAGTCTCATTTATTTATTTTTTGACTTTTTACACGTCTCTCCTTTGAATGGAGCCTTAAACGACGCAAGGTGACTCTCCGGGTAGAACTTCAGCACTGTACCGCAATCTATCTGGCGACTTGAGCAAGAAACGAGAGGAGGAAGTTCACGCTTTCCTAAGACCCGCCCCCTTTTTCTTTTGATTGGCTAATACTTTTAGTTTAAGAGCGCACCTTTGCCACCATTGACTGACAAATGCAAAAGGGATTTCAATTGTCTTTTTTTTTTCTTTTTTTTACCGTCAAATAATTTTCTAGTGATTTTTTTTAACCACGGGCAATCGCTATCAGCTGGAGATCCGGCCTGGGGCCGGAGTACTTTAATCCCTGAGAATGCCTTGTGGGGAGAGCTCTCATCGCAAAGCATTATGGGATTTGCTGTCACAGCGGCCCGCTGTCGCCATAGGCTGCTAATAACAAAGATGGCGCAGGCACCGCATGGTGCAGGAGGAGTTACGTGACCAACAGAGCAAAAAGAAGTGATCACATGTCCGAATGGTAAGTTAACTGAGTTTGCTATAAACTCAGTTAACTCAGTTAACACTGTATGTGGACACAGTAAGCTTGTATGAGCTATGAAAATAACACATTTTAAACAGTGCATGCATAAGGAGAAACGGGCTCGTGTATGCTCTTCCACGTGCAGTTTTTTTCAAATTGGCGAGGGCAGGTCTTTTAAAAAAATCCTCCGCAATACCTTTAAGGTTGGGAGAGCAAAATCCCTTCTTTGTTAGAGGGCAGATTTGTTGTTTAGCAGGAGGTACTGAACCATTTGAGGCACAATTTCATATAAAATCTCTTGGTAATCTTGAGGACACAGAGAAAAAAAACTTACGTCCTGCTGTCGGCGTCAGTGGCTCGTCGTCCTTATACCAGGTGATGTTGGGTTTAGGATAACCATTTCGAGCCTCACATGATGCCACCTGCAGAAGTTTATGTAAAGCTTTAATTATCTGAACTTTCTCTCTTGTACCAGGGCTTTGCAAAGTTTCCCATTCCCTGAATCTTTTCACATTTTGTTAAAGCCTCTAACTATGGAAGAGGATTAGGGTCACTGAAAAAAAAAAAAAAAA